CTAAAATTTGCTTTCGTTTGGTTCTTACATTGTTCTTAAATTAATTATGAAATTTGGTTTCATTATTTTTGTTACCATTTTACTATTTGCCCTTATTTTTTATACACGCCATCAACATCTTCAGATTCTTTACTATGAATCCATAATATAAATATAAATAAAATTTGCAGTACCAATTTCCTGCAACTTGCACCCTTTGCTTGGAATATTCCTTATGACACCACACAGAAGAAAGAAACTAGGATACGCATTGTCATGTCTAAAACTTAAATTACATAATTGGTTTGGGATATTGCCACGATCAGTGGCGGAGTCACCTATAGGCCCACCTAAGGACCAAGGTAGGCCCAGGCCCTCTCTCATTTTTTTTATTTTCTCATAATTTTGCTTATATGTGTTGTTATATGTTTGCTTCTTGGAGTAAAAACTCTTTCTTCTTTTTTTCCTCCTTCTCTTCCTCTTTTGATTAATTTAAGCTTTGTGAATTCCCCTCTCCCTCGTTTTACATGTTTAAGTAGGGCATCTTAATATTGGGATTTATGAAATTTTTTTGTATTTCTTCTCTCTGTTGAAGTATAAATTATTAAATTTTGAGTCTTTAATAGTGTAGATGATGAGATTAATATTTAACCATGTTAAAATATGAAATTCAGGACAATTATGATTGTAATAAATGAATAAATTATTAATCAATATGAAATGAATAAATTATTAACTTATTAATCTAGTTAGCGCTTGAGGGCTCCTATTCGAATTATTTTTAAAATATTTGTGAATGACCCCATCTAATGTGAAATCCTTACTTCGCCACTGATCACGATGGCATTTTAGTTAGATGTAAGTTTTTCTCGTCAGGCTTGTGCTTACTTGCTGAACATTATCAAATAATATATTGTAATATTGCAATATTGAGTATATAGGTAGCTAGGGTTTTGAGATTGCAGAGAGGACAGGATACAAATACAAAGCGTGCTGATTAAGAGGAAGCGCGGCGGAAGAATATAGAGACATTCTCAAAAGGGGAGAAGAGAAGGGCAACAGGCCATGTATATACATATATATTCACAATATATAATATGGGGATGAGGGCAAAGGCTAAATATAGTACAACAATAACAATATGTCCACAGCTACAACTACAACATGCGTACCAGTCTTTGTATCGCGTGTTAAATTCGAGAACAAACAATAAAAACACTTTGGTTTTATTTTTTTAATATTATTTTTCATAAAAACAATATATATATATATATATTTCATAGATAAATTAAATATATGAGAGAAAGAGAAGCACATGCATGACACTCTGCATCTGCAGCAGGAGGAGGAGCAGGCTCATGATGATGATGATCCTCATACACTAAAACCCAATAGCTGCGTGCGTGAGTGAATGTGTAAGTGTGTTTGCGTGTACTTCGAGGCTTTTAGAAGAAGCACAGATCATCTCACTTCACTACCTTACAAATTAATCCAACCCAGTCAAGTCCATGCCATGCCATCCCACTACTTTAATTACTTGGTTTAATATTAATATCTATATCATCAAAGGCATGCTACAAATTTGTATTTCAATAGAATAGAAACTAATCTAATGAATTGTGATTCATTTATATCTTAGTAGGAAACAGAAAATTTATCATTTCAACAGCTACAACCGAGTTCGCATACGATTTCGAATAGCAGAAAACTCCACTGTCAATATGAATGGTGTGGTTTTGTGCAAGGTTACATGCATGTGTATGAAAATTGAAATTGTAAGAAAAGGGTTGGAGTAGAATCTAACCGTGAGACGAATAGAAACACACAGTACATACAAACAGCAAGAGGCAAGCAATTAAAACAGAGACTAGGCAGGCAAAGGAGTGAAGGAGGGAGGGAAGGAGGGGGCCTGTGGGTCTGATGAGTGCACAAAACCAAAGGCCCCAATATTTCTGACACCAGGATTCCCACACTTGTTGCTTCCAACACTCTACACGATAAAGTGGGTTTTTTTTCTTTCCATTTTTAATATATGGGTTTGCTCTCCTTTTTCCTCTTTTCTTTTTCTTCGTTTACCAACTTCTCCATACAAGGAAATCAAAGTCTTTAAAGGAAGAAAATTCTTGCAGCCTTTCCTAGACATAGAAAGATAGATCGCTCTCCCCACCCCCCGTCCTTCATCACCCCACCACCTTCTCCTTTTTTGACTATCATCTCTCTCTCTCTCTCTCTCTCTCTGTCAATAATACATTCATTTTTGTTACATTGCCAGTGGGCAAATGGGGGTGCTCCAGTTACTAGCTACAACATTTGAATATGCATTTTGCCATCCCTAGCTTAGCTAGCATTCTTTTTGATTTGTCCCTTAAAGCTTTGTTTCTTTAACACATATTTTATTAATTGTTCTAATACTATTATATGGTTTTGTTTAGTGTTCCCAATGGCATGTTGTGCATTAACCGTTGTCTCTAGGGTTTAACTTTTTGTGGCGGTCTTGTATACTGAAAGAAGCATCTGTAGTAACTAGAAAGGGGTACAGTTTCTGCTTTGATCTTCCCCATTTCATGTATCTCGCTGGCTTTACCAATTTTGAATTCTCTAGTATTTCAGGCAGAGCGACAATTGGTCAGATTTCAGGTTTTATTAAGTAAACAATACAAGATACGTACTTATTGCTTAATGTATATTCCAATCTAGTAATAAAACATTGTTATAATCCTCTAATTCATGTTAATTTCAAAGGATTTGTAAATTGATAAAGGTCGATCGATGCAAGACCGCCCGGTGTCACCAATAATCTGAAAAAGATAGATGGAATTTGGAAGAGTACTAATAATTATAAGGAAATGCAATTACTCTTTCTCGTCTCTTGATTTTGTACCCCAGAAATTACTGTGTGAGATTACGATCGTCTTCTGATGTGAATATGTTTTGCAATCTGTCTGTTATCTGCTTTTACTTTTGGAATTATGCTTTGATGGTGTCAAATTGTCAATGTCATGCACAGATGCTTTGTAGGTGAATGCGTCAATCCCTGTCCCCTTTTAGCTACATATAGTTGCTCATCATCTGTATGTAGCACAGTTTGGGTTGGACCCTAAGAATACAGAAAAAGTAATTAATTAGTTAAAAATTGAGAAGATTAAATATGCTAAATAGAGTTTTCCAACTTTTAATTTCGCTAGAAGAATCTATTTGGATGAATATAACGTTTCCAAGAAAGAGCCAATGAGATTGCTAGAAATTAAAGTTCAATTTCCATCATGTGTTTCACTGGATCTTTAGAATCAAAATCTTATCTTTGTCAGAGTTTATTGATGAGGACTCGTTATCCTCGTGGAAAAATTCCTCCTCCCAATTAGCCTACTGATCCTAATTATTTGGTTTTCAATTCAATTAACTATATTTGTGAGCCCTCCACACAAATTCAAAAAGACAAAAGAAAAAAGAATTGCAGGAAGATTATTATTTTCTTGAAAACCATATGGCTGTTGTTCTTGGTCATCTTCATGATGTTATCTACAATCTACATCAATGGTAATATCAGGTAATTTCATATAAAAGGAAATCCTTTCCTCTTTCAACACTTAGTCCTTTTGAAAGGTCGCATCGTTGTTCGTCCATTTGTGGGCAACATATACAAAGCTCCATTAATGTAATTATATAGTTTACAGTAATATAGTTTCAAGGCTGGAGCTAAGGATCTCAGTTCTTAACCCTAAACCTAGTGAGATTAATTGGAATATCTATGCATCCCGTGTCGGTGTTAAATTCATCGGATTTTACTTGTTGACTGAGGTTTATTAAAGAAATTAATGATAATGGTTTTAGTGTATAATTAAAATTAAGATCAATGATGATGATCATAAAGTAGAAATACAAGAACATATATTCTGACAAGGCCTCTGCTTTTATATGTCAACCCTAAGATTTATTGTGTTGGTGGCCAATTTGGACAGCTAAAGAGATTCTTGTTAGATATTGACAAATCGTAGAAAAATCGCATAAGGTTAGAATATCATTGGGAAATTTGGCGTTTGGTCTTGTGCAAATGAGGACATTCCACCGTGCTAACCCTTAACCCCATGTTAAAATTGAAATCTACACAATTGCAAAACAACAAGAACAGGAAGAGAGAGAGAGAGGGAGAGAGAGAGAGAATTAATTATTTGCTATCAAAATCAAATGTCATGGTGGCAAGGTAGGTATATATAAGATATATATGAGATAAAAAGGTTTCATCTAATCAGAAAATTAATTTATTAAAGTATGTATGAGCTCAGTTTTAACATATTCTGATTAGTTAATAACATGTGATTTAGATAAATATTAATAATAAAAGGGTTTTTTTAAGTGGGATTATGGGATGCAACCTGTATGGACAGAAGTAAAGGTGGAATTAGGTAGAGCTATAGCTAGCAAACATATGTCATGGATTATTCTAAATTGAATACCTAAAACAAAGAAGTGGGGGGCTAAGTACAAATCTATGTTGGTGAAGCAAAATAGTATAAGATAATGAATTGGTAATAAATTATGTGTGAAGGGCATGAAAGAGGAAAAAGCTAGGAAAGATAAAGATTAAAAGAAGGAAGTGATGGAGCAAAAAGGAAACAAAAAAAAAAGAAAAGAAAAGAAAGACAAGAAAAAGATGCATCGATAAATTATGGTATTTTCTCCTTTTTCTCTTTTTGATCACTTTAATTATTAGTATTTTTATTTAAAGGGTAGAGAAAGTAGAGGAGGGGGATGAGGGAATCCAAGTGTTCCAAGCACTCCCAGACAAAGTGAGGTTCAGAGAAGAGAAAAGCAACCTCTGCTTTACGACCCAGAAAAGGAGATTTCAAACACCATAAGGCCATGGAGCTTAGGAAATTGCGTGGTTATTAACCCAACCCACAACTCACTCAACCCACAAACAAACCAATTCTTTCTCTCTCTCTCTCTCTCTCTCTCTCTCTCTCTCTCTCTCTCTTTCTCTCTCTCTCTCTCCCTCTTCTATATAAACCCCCCCCTTAGGTCACTGGTTTGCTTGTTTTGTGCCAATTCAAATGGGTCTGAGCTGTGGGGCTTTGAAGCTCCATTTTGATTATGACCCAGCTCCCATCATTATCCCGTTTATCACTCTACCCTTCTGTGTGTGTCTCTCTCTCCCTCCCTCTCTCTCTCTCTCTCCCTCTTTATCTCTTTCTCTCTCCCTCTTCAATATAAACCCCCCCCTCTCTCTCTCTACCACTCTTTATACCCCTCTTCCACTTTCCCTTGTCTTGCCCACTATAGCCATGCCAAAGCTTCTCCAGGATACCTACTAGCTAGCTCAACAAAATCTCATTTGCTTCAAATCCATGCATTCTTAGTTCACTCTCTCACAATCCCATGTCATATCAACAAAAACCATTCATTCTCACATCACAGATATATATATATTTCTCTCTCTCTCTCTCTGCGTATATATGTATATGTATATATATATATATCCACAAACACACTCCTAACTAAATTCATGAAAGGTGGGATGTTGGGTTGGCGTGAGATAAGGTCTTAGACTTGAATATATTGTCCAAACCTAGCTAGTAAGTTTGAGATATATATAAGCTTTTACATCAATTGATCTATGTCGTTTGTATATATTATATATATAGCATGAACATGCGCATAGATATACAAAGTATATATGTGCCTGGCTCCCTGTATGCCATTTGCAGAGTCCCACCGAACATCGATGGCCTCCGTGGATGGCGTATGAGGAGCCATGCATATAAACCCATGTGTTCCTGTGTGTACATGTGTTTCAGTACTTTTACATTCATTCATTCATTCATTTTGTTCTATATTTTCTTCCCAACATGCCAATTTTGCAGTCTTCAGGGGTATTATGGTCATGTTGGGCAGCATTGTAATTTCCCATGTTTGCAGGATAGCTAATGTGTCTGAGAAAAAGGTACTTCATCTTCTTCCTTCTTCATCATCATCATCTTCTTCTTCTTCACATGGATGTTAGGGCTCTTCTTTCTCTCTCTATGAAAGTATGAATATCTGTGATGACATGCTTTACTTTTGCAGAGAATAATTATGGCTTCTGAAATATAAATTTGGCATTTTACTCCTTGTCACATGTATTTTCCATCATTTCACCAAACACATGTAACGAGGGCTTATGGCTTCGGCCCAAATTCCGGTAAAAATTAGAAGCAGCTGGTTAAGAAGCTCGCTTGGTCCCTGACAACATGGAAGTTACAACTTTCCTTACATATTGCCCATCATGACATGACATCCATTCATCTATCCATCCATCCATCCATCCATCCATGTCTATCCATCATGTTCCACGCTTATCTCATGGACACTTCTAATGACCTCTGGTCCTAATCTTGTTGACTCACCCCAAAAAGGAGCTAATTGTTTTTCTTTTAACTGTTTTGTTTTTATCTTCAAGTTTTGTTCATCTGATTGCTCAGTTTTAAACCTTCTTCTTCCAAATTAACATGGTGATTTTCCCACTTGCGTACAATGGACAAAACCCATTCGTTTTAGGCCGTTGGTTTATAAATCAAAACCAAAAAGGTTTTTTGTTTTTTTATTGTTTTTTTCAGGGTGTAGATATATAATAAAAAAATGAGTTGTGTTGGACCTGTTGGAGATTAGATTAGTTAGATTACATTACCAAATAAAAGAATGAAGCTAGATCTTTGATTTGATTTGAGGGACAAGTTCAATTCAAGGGCTTCAGATAAAAAAGGAAGTGAGAAGGCAAAGAAACCAAAAAAATAAAAAAATAAAAAAATAAAAGAATGTTTGCCTTATCATCAGTAAATAAATAAATAAGATTTTGATTTTCCTAGTTCCTAGACAATTTGATCATATTATTCCTTGTCCTGCATGCGTACAGCTAGCAGCTGCTATACAACGGACGTTTAGAGAATATGTATTTAGTCTCATCTGCCTGCTTGCTGCTATGTATCTTATAGCACATATCATATCATTTTGCCCATTTCCCCATTCGCCCTCTCTCTCTATCATAAAATTGCCTTGGAACTTTAGTCTCGGGTATATGGGCCGGACTGTAGCCCCACTAAGATTGTAGGGAGCAAACAGTTTGGCCAAGATTGTAGAGCTGCTAGCTTATGATTTGCTCAACTCTACAATCTTAATTAGTCGGACTCAAGTGTAGCCCGGCCCAAGTTCTCCGAGAGTAAAGTTCTTGTAACGCGGCCCAAGTTATCGGAGACTAAACTTGTGTGGCTTGGTAGTTGGTATCTTCATCTCTATATAAAGTATGAACATATAGGTAGCTAGAGAATCAGAGATCTAGAGTGATACAGAACCGTACGACTGGGCAGGGCTTCAACTGTAGCCCCACTAAGATTGTAGGGAGCAAACAGTTTGGCCAAGATTGTAGAGCTGCTAGCTCATGATTTGCTCAACTCTACAATCTTAATTAGTCGGACTCAAGTGTAGCCCGGCCCAAGTTCTCCGAGAGTAAAGTTCTTGTAACGCGGCCCAAGTTATCGGAGACTAAACTTGTGTGGCTTGGTAGTTGGTATCTTCATCTCTATATAAAGTATGAACATATAGGTAGCTAGAGAATCAGAGATCTAGAGTGATACAGAACCGTACGACTGGGCAGGGCTTCAAGAAAAGAAAAGCAAAAGTGTTTAGGGCAGCAGCAGGAGGATGATCATCATAATGGCTATTAGGAATCTCATACGCTACAAGCAGACTGGACCACATCTCTTCTATGTCTCTCGGTCTCTCTGTCTCTCTCTCACTTAATAATTTTTTTACTCTCTTTTTTCATCAATTGGCCAGCAGGGAATATAGTATACGGTCAAAGCAGGTCAAAAAAGGACATTTCGTCAGGCAAAGAAAATGGACCACCTTTGAGATCTCCTGGGAAATAGAAATCAATTACTTACTGCTGGGTGGGATTTTTAAAATTTCAAGTTCACTCTCTCCATGCCCATGCCCTCCTCAATTTTCACACACCCAACATTCTCCTGCGATTGGCCAGCCCAGGGAGGCATAGCTTAATTTGTTCTAAATAAATAAATCATTCAATCTTCATATGCTTAAAGTTTTTTGCTTGAGGACATAGATATAGTCAGATGTGCATGAATATGTACCAGCTAGCTAGTGTAAGTGAGGTCCCACCTAAGCTACCTTCTGGGTTATATGTATAGATTGTACACTCCAAGTGTCTCAGGAATAGATTCTTTCCCAATATATCTGATTGAATTTCAAATGATATTCTAGCTGAGAAATAATATATCATATGACCATTTTAATGGAACTGATATATTGCTAACAGTAATTGAAAAATTAAACATTCTATGATCTAGCTTCACATATATGGGAGAAATAATGTATATGATCTCTCCAGCTATCTCACAATATAAGATGTTTATGTTGTAAGACCCGGAATTTGAACAAATTTCTTCTTTTTTGGTTCTAAAATGTGTGATCTAAATGTAGAGGCTCGGAATCCCCTGAATTCACATACCTAATTATATCGTGTTACGAAATGTGAGATTTTATTATCATAGATATTCTTCATGACTATATGACAAATTTTGCACCACTACTTCCGTAGTTGCTAGGCTTCTAACTCTACGTTAATTAATAATAATAATAATAATTTAGATTCTGAAAGGGTAAGGTTGGGGGCTTGGCATGGTGGAGATGCTAAGTGGTGAGCTTCTATCAGTCCTGTGGGCTATTTTTAGGTCCATCTTATCAGTAATAACTCCTGGCTCACAAATTTCCACGTTCACAAACAAATTCATGTTCATCTCATCCTTCATGTTCATCATCGTCATGAGCTTAATGGCTGTCGACATGCGGGGCCGGAGGCTGCATTTCTCTTGTACGCAAAGCAGACCCAACTTTAAGAACTCGATGGCTTCTTTTTCTGAAAAGTTTCCATCAACTTCAAGTCTAGAGTCCACCAGATCCACAAGCCTCTTGCTCTTGTACATTTCCCATGCCTGCATCCAATCCATGCCTCACTTACTTTATTTATTAATTCACATTTTAATTTATTAATTGCATTTATAATTAACATATCTTTATTATTAATTAGGTTAATTTTATCCAAATTTGGTTATGTTTTGTTGTTTTAGGTATCACGTACTTTTATTTTATATGTTAATGAGATGACAGATTAATGTGTATGCATGCTTGTGTATCACTTTCTTGTCGGAAAACCAAAGTTGATTACAAGTTCAATGTTGTCATGTACAGAGTTTTAAAATAATGGTTGGGGCCCTTGAGCTGTTGTTGTGAAGAGACTCAAGACTTTCATCCATTCAAAAATGGGTGAGGATTTAATCTTATTTAGTAATAAGAAAAACGAGATTTTTTTAGAAATGTTACCTAAATTTATACATCAGTTTCAATTTATCACTTTAAAGAAAAATTTAAGCAAAATGTCACATTAAGTTTTCAAAATCCATGATTTGTCACCTGACTTTAACATCATCTAATTTTCCATCCATTTTAAAGGATATTTTAGTCTTTTCAATATATAAACCCTCTATCTGTATATATTGACTTTTTCTTTCTCAAACAAGCTTAAGATGTGATGGAATTTCACATATAATTAGAGTTAGACACCTACCTTTTGGACAAGATAATGTTCTCCAAGTTCTAGATCAAAGTCAACTGCAGATCTTCCACTGACTATTTGTAAAATCAACACTCCAAAACTGTATACGTCTGACTTTCGGGTTAGGTTTCCAGAAATGGCATATTCCGGAGCAAGATAGCCTCTGAATTAATGCATCAACAACAATATTCACCAATTAATAATATTAATAGCAATCAAATTAAACCATGCAAAATGAATCTATTGGGTTGGAGCCAAACTTGGCCATGTTTCACTTACAATGTTCCAGCCACTCGTGTACTGATGTGAGTAATGTTTTCTGGGAATAGTTTTGACAGTCCAAAGTCTGAGATTCTTGGATGAAAGTTCTTCTCCAAAAGTATGTTGCTGGCTTTGATATCTCTGTGCACAATGTGCGGTTTTACCTCCTCGTGAATGTAAGCAAGCCCCCTAGCAATTCCTAGACAAATTTCTCGCCGTACCCTCCAATTCAATTTTGACCTAATTTTCTCCTCACCTGCTTAATCAACAATAATCAAAGTGATCGATTACATATTTTTATTGGACTATCGTGTATTGATATGTAACAACTTTATCAGATTATTAATTTGGATCACACATTCAAATATAATCCTACTATAATCAAGCGCAAATTGATAGTCTGACAACATAACATGTCGGATTGTCTAATAAGAGAAGATTTCTTTGTTGTCATATATAAAGTGAAAACAATGTAGCTTATATCAATTTTTACCTAGCAACATGTGAGCGAGGCTGTTGTGCTCCATGTAATCATAAACAAGAATTCGACGGCGGCCTTCGATGCAGCCACCGCGCATCTTGACCAGGTTTTGATGGCAAATGTTGGAGAGTGATGCTAGCTCAGACATGAACTCCCTGTCTCCTTGCTTTGATTCAGCTGAAAGCACTTTCACAGCCACATCTACTCCGTCGTTAAGTCTTCCCTTATAAACAGATCCAAATCCACCTTCACCAATTTTATTGGAAGGATGGAAATCATTGGTGGCGACTTTCAATTCTTTGTACGTGAAGGCATGGACATTTTGAAGAAATTGTAGACCTAATTTAATGAGAAGATAGCCAAGACTTCCATATCAATACATGTACATTACAGGTAAGAAACCAAAAGTTGAAAACAGAAATAAGAAAGTGGAATTGGATTATGATTAGCTGATGATGAAAGTTAGAACAAGGTTTTTTTAAATTAAAAAAAATCTAAATTTTTACAGAAAATATACAAATTATATGCTCACCGTGTGTGTTATCATCGACGATTCCAGGTGAAGAGAAACATTTTGAGCAGGGAAAAGTGAACTTCATGATTTCTGGTTGCAGGAAAATTGAGCTGAAAATGTATGCTGTGTCCTTAACAAACTGGGTTTGATTTTAGCAAATTTGCAGACAAAATCACTTCTGAAGTTCCAAGTATTCGATTCCAAGGAAAGTTGCACTTATATATATAATTGTCTTACGAATCCAAATGAGAGGGAGAGAAGTGAGATTGTGTTTACATAAATAAAATAGTAGTCATTGACTGCTACAGATTGTTCTTTCTTCTTGGAATGGATCGTTGATGTCACCAAATAAACATTATTGAAAAAAAGAAAAGAATGATGTCCTAAAATTTGGAGCACTTAGATCTCTTTCCATGATATTATTGTTTACATAATTTAAGTTATAATTCCATAGAGATTGTGGGGCGGCTGCAGGGGGAGGGAGCGTTGGAATAAATAATGCCTACAATTAAAGTCTTTGAATTGTTTAACCAAAACCTTATGAAAGGACAGATTTTAGCCTCTTTGACTTGAAAAATAAGACAAATTAAATGGGGATTATGACTCTAATACTTTGTGTATGTGTGTGTGTGACTGCATACAGTCGAGTGAGTGTGTGAATAGGGTTAAGTGATTTCTCCATCTAGAAGGAAAAGCATTATTCTTATTAAATAAAAAAAATTAAGACAGCCCAAATGAGCCATGTTCACCCCATTAAAGTTAAATGATCACATGGTCTATTTTTATTATTATTTTATTTAAATCACATGGCTAGCAAACTAATCAACGGTCTTAACAAGTTTCTCTAATAAGGATTTTTGTTAACGATTAGTTAAGGAGTTCTAATATTAACCATCCATTAGATATGTTGACGGATTAAATAATTTTTTAATATGACATGCATACAATCAGATGGCTGCGATTAGAAGTCTTTAATAACCAACTCTTAACATAATTTTTTTAAATTTTTATACAAGCGATATTGAGGGAGAGGAGAATTGAACTTAAGACCTAGGGTGCATAGGTAAATACTGTTAACCATTTCAGCTACAAGCCACTTTCCTTAACATAAAATCTTTAATGAAATCAATCTCTATTATAAAATTTGGGTAAACATAGACTCTCAACCAAAACCGAACATTTATATATAAAGTTTGCATACATTCTTATACAGAAAAGGTTTGGATTAATAAGATTGAAGAGATCGAACAATCCTTCTCATTGTTAATTGGCTAGCAAAACAAGGCAATATTACATACATAAGTTGTTCTTGATGTTCATTGGTAAATGGATGAATGGAACTTCAAACTACAAGTTAAAACATTTGGAACACTAGATAATTCAGACTTAGAAACTAACTCACCAAAATCCAAATAAGTAAAATAGACCGGCGTGGGTTTAGTTTATTGCTCATCAACATGTTCCACCACCATTAATCAAACAATATAAAAATAGTCAACTCACGAGCAATGCAATAATTGCCCCATTCAACAAATCAAGAATATATATAGAGTGAACGCACAATAAACAAGCAGGAAAACAGGGAACACGGGCGGAACTAGCAACAAGTCTACCATGGGCTCTAGCCCAAGTAGCCTTTAAAAAATATTTACAAATATTGTATGTATTTTAATGTGATTTAACTCTATAAAAGATTAGTAGTACATCCAAATATAGCCTAGTAACCCATTGTCCACTCAACTTGTAGGTTTATAATCATCTTATATTTAATTTTTTTGCTAACTTAAGAGCATTGGAGATGTCAAATAATATGTATCAAAATTGGATTTGATGGCTAATAACTTTAGTCAATGGAACTATGAACTAGCGTGGTTTATATGATTTATTTTTTGTTATTCGCTAGGGAGGGGGAGTATTATTGGGTTGCCTCAAGATTGTCTCCTACATGAATTGAACTCGAGTGCACTTGGGGGGGAGGGGGAGAGTTTGGCCCACTTTTCCATTGTGTTGTCACCCCATGTGCATGGTTAATATGATTTAATGTATACTTTTGTTTCTAAAAAAACTATAGAAATTATAAGTAAAAAAAAAAGTTTAGCATTAGATTTTAAGCTAATAACTTTAGCTAGCCCACCTATTGAAAAATTTCTGATTCCGCCCTTGGGAAGAGTATTACAAAATATCGCACAATAATAATATCTGAATGTCTCCATAGAGAATTTCCATATATATATATATATATATGCATGCATGGTCAAGGTCCAAGCGAGTCCCCCAACTTTGATTTCAGACAAATTAACCAAGACTCAGTCAGATGGCAACTGAAATGTATATAGAACTAGCTTGATTATATCTCAATCGAATATTCTATTGATCTAATAAAACTTTGTACCACTTTTCTGCGCATGCAACTAAGAAATTAAATTTGTCTAGTCCAGGTCAAATTTTCCATAAAACATCATTTCGTGGAACCTGTTGCATATATTATATATAAATGCATGCATGAGAGCCGCCTTAGCTGATGCTCATATATGTATGAAGCCTTTTATTTTATGAGTAATTATAATGTGTTACTGAAATATAATTATATAATTTAATTTATTCACGTGTTATATATAATTCATCATAAAAGTAAAAAAAATTATATCATTTATCTATATTATAACACGTGAATTAATTATATCATGTGATCGTATTCCAGTATCACTTTATCCACGTAATGAAAATTAGTAACCCATTATGAATCAAGTTATTGGTCAAACTCCACAAATTTATTCCCTGTTGCGGAGCTGTCGATTCTTGAACTTACAAAATTATGTAATTATTGGTTGAATTAACCTTGAGAAGGAGATCATATAATTAATCTTGACCTTGTGAAGTTTGTGGCCGCCATCTCCTTTCTTCTTCTTCTTCTAAATGTATTAATTTAATTTTGTGGCAAAATGAGACACGAATGCCCGTTTTTGTACGTCATTTATAATACTACGGTAAAATATTGGATAGAATTTCCGTCAGCAATGATGATTATAACAAAACCAAGTTTTAGTTTATAGTGTTATAAGATGGATAAATTCACAATATTTATATGAATATTCACAATATTCCAATGTAGTTTCCAAGCTGCCGACAAAAATATATAAATAAATTGTAGTTTCCAAGCTTGGCATAGGGTTTCAGAAAGGGCCAGCAAACTTGATATGAGCTTTACTAATTCTAACTGCGGGATTGCTTCAGGCATTTGGACCTTTGTTTTTAACAAGCCCCCTTTCCCTTTGGAAAACTACATTGGAAATATGGCGAGATACATATATATGGGCAGATTAAGATTAATTTCTTTTGAAAGCATCCCCCAAATATATAATCCCGAATCTGCATCTAACTTCTTATAAAAGAAACAGACCATACAAAACTTGATTTTATATGTTCGATATATCACCTAATTGTTCGGATACCAACTAATTAGTATCTTTGTTAAGTTAGAACGATTGAGGAGTATTTTTGTTCACCACTTTAATTATATGTGTACCCTCACCACCCAATTCATGACTTGACATCTGTCCAAACCTATAGCCAAGCCATAGTTAACTATTTGTTTCTAAATCTTTTAAAGTATTTAAAATTAATAAAATATAAAAATAAAAAATAAAAAACTCTCTCCTTCTCTCTCCCTCTATCCCGAACCATCCCAACCTAGAGGCCCTATTTTCTATAGCCACCTCCCTCAACAACCCCAGCCACCATTCCCTCCCTCACCTTGTTCACCCTCAACAATTAGAAATATATATTAAATGGAAAAGGAAAAAAGACATGTTTGTCATAGTTTCTAATTCGTTGGTGGTTTTGCCATCGTCGTCTCTATTATGCAACAAGCCGAGAAACCCTAACCCTAGCGTCGTCGTTGGACACGGTGGCTTCTTGTTCGTCACCGTTGTCGCCTTTCCGGCTTCGGATGTGGACTCGGAGATAGAGCTAGAATTGTAAAGTTAAGGGGACCGAAGTATAAAATACAAGTATATAAAACACATAAGTATTCAATAATTACATGTTTAGAGCTAAATATTTCTAATTTAGTCATGTCTAATTTATTTTAGAGGAAGTTTTAACTTAAATTATAAGTTGTTTGTTACAAATTCTATGTGTTATATATAATATAATAGAAGAGATATCAAAATATAGGGGGGGCTAGGGCCACTCGAGGCCTAGGGGTGGCTCCGCCACTGTGTGGAATATCCTTTAAATTTGAGATGTTGAAGTGTTTGGAATTTGTAGATTCTTGGTATCTTGAAACCATCCTTCCCCTCTCTCATTTCTCTGGAGGTCAGGAAGGGTGAGGTAGAGAAGGAGACATATACTTTTTTTCTTTGTTTTTAAATATTATTTGTTATTATTTTGTTTTATTTTTTAGTTTTAAATACTTTAAAATATTTAAAAACAAATAGTTAACCAGGGTTATAGGTATGGACATATGTCAAGTTATGAGTTGGGTGGTGAGAGTACACACATAGTTAAAGTGGTGAGCAAAAATACGCCTTGAAGATTGAGTTAAGGCATTCTTCTCTTGCTCTCCATAATTTTAGTGAAACTAAATATGTGGCTCATACATTTGAGTGACAAACTTATTCAAAAATAATAAAACAAAGCTGCTTCTTGTTAATTGGCATAACTCACGCATGTAATATTTGTTCATTTGTTATAAAAGAAGATGGAGGATTTAAAAATTAGAATATATTTCAACATTTTTTTTTTTGGTTATACAAGTGATATTGGAGAATTGAACCTATGATCTCAAGTGCACGAGTAAAAATTTATGTTTTGGTGAAAAAAGGTTTAGGGGGAGGGGAGGCTACCTCATCCCAGGATAAAGGCATACCACCAAGGCCTCTTTGAGAACCTACAAAGGGGATCTTAGCTTCTTTTTTGATTTTTAGAGATTACCTACTAAGAGGGATTGTTAGCAGTAGGACTCGAATCTAGGCCTTGATAACGGAGAGAATGATTCTTACCAATTCAACGAATTCTCATTGGTCATGAGTAAATGCTTTTAATTAGTTAAGAAAATAGATTGAACTTTTATATGCGAACATTATAATAAGGGGACGGTCAATGTCATGTCGAAATCTAAACTAAAGAGAATCTCACATATTAATTTTTGCACAAAAATACTAATGAAGTACAGTCCAATCCTAATCATCTTTAAAATATAAAAGTAAAAGTAAAATAAAATGGCGACAGTCCAAAAATTATGATAAATGAAACAAAATAGTATTTACTGGGAGCGGATCTGCTGTCCTCAAATTGTGTGCCCCTCCATGTCTCTCCAATAATTTGTTGACATATGTCATTTAACTTAATACACGCGAGTCTTCTTCACCCTCCAATTTGGGGCCTCCTCTCCTCTTTCCCTTCCAACACCCAAACCAACCAAACCAACCGTGGTTTTTCTCTGGGACAAGCCCCCAACAAAGTGAACGCAATTGCCTTATGCAAAGGGGACCTTGCACTCAAAGATTGCCACACCTATTTCAACGGCTCTGTTTCCGTTCTCTTGCAATGCAGAATTGCACTAATCAGAAGGGAAGCAATCACAATTTGCGGTGTCGATGAAGATGAGCCTGTTAAGTTTGTGACGAGCGTTTTGGTTTGGCTTTTTTTTATTTTTTCCTAAAGAAAATTGCCAAATAAAAAAGTTGACACTCTGTTAATTGAGATGACATGTGTCAACAAATTATTGGGGGATATGAGGGACACAGAATTTGGGGACAGCGGATCCGTTCCCGGTTTGCTCTGCACCCTTTGAAGTCTTGAACTCGAAAGGTAGGAGGACCAAGCAACCCGCGATATGCGGCCCAGGATTCCTCTAAAGTATGAATCTTGATTCTGGGCTCGACTGCTTCTGTCCGTATCGGGTTATGGTGGGTCCCGCATCCGTCTTTCCATTTCCAAGTTTCCATGGGCAGTCTTCGTCTCTCCTCAAACCTCCACCACCACCAACCATGGCCCATTCAATACCAACCCACCACAACGTATGCCTCTCTCTCTCTCTCTCTCTCTCTCTCTCTCTCATCTCTTCTATTTATAAAGCTATAAATAACCCAACAAGCTTCACACGTCTCAGCTGCTTCCTCTGATTCTGAGGTTCGCTTCTCACTTTTCTTATCCTTTATTTTCTTTTTGTTCTGTCCGCAAGTTTTATGCTTTTCAGTGTGGGATTTTGAAATATTTTATATGATTATGGATTAAGATTTGACATTTTGGTTGTTTCAAGTAATTTCAGCTGGTAGCTGTTGTAGTTTATCTTATGTTTCAGTCTATTAGCTAATTCTGTAGCATAGTGATGAAGTGCCAAAGTGAATATATTTATACTTGGTTGAGGAATTGAGTGAACCCATTTCCTCATTTAAAGCATAGTTAGTATCAGCATGTATCTTCTGTAGGCCCTGCACCTCAAAAGTTCCTGTTTTGTATTGTTCTATGGATTGCAGTGCAAAGTCTAGAACTAACCCATTACTAATTATAGTAAACAGATGTGGATGTCTTTATTGCAAAAATCCAATCGTAGTTAATATATATTACACATAACACACATGGACTGAAGTGGTAATGCTATTGCGTACTTAAGGGTGGTGATTTATGTAGTCATGCTGGAATGACCACATTAGTAAATTCATATAGGTGTATAGAAAGAGACTTAAATACCATATTGCTTTGCATGGCATATTGAACTGTAGGTGGCACATCTAACTGTGTACATTTCTGTGCTGCAGAAGCTCTGTTTTGGGCGCTTGTGTACAACTTTTGACAATCTCTATCCTAAGTAACAAAAATGAATTTCACTTTGTGTTCGTCTTCTTCTGAGCTCAGATATCCTTTTGTTGAGGGGCTACCATGCACAAACAAGAATATGCTAGAGTCTGAACTTTTTGTGAAAGTTGATAATTTCAATAACAAGGACAAAAATCGAGCATCTAATCATGATGCTAGAAAGCTGGTGATGTCTAGCAATTTGATGCCTCAGCCTTTAAAAGGATCCTATGTGGGAAAGAAACACCTGCAGGAACCTGGTCAGAAGCTGGAATTTGTGAGGACATTGTTGATTGACAACTATGACAGCTACACATACAACATATACCAGGAGCTGTCTGTCATTAATGGGTGTACGCTTTTCTCTTCCTCCCCCTCTATCTCCTCCATGTATGCCACTCATTATTTCCCAGGGCTATAATGTTTTCTTCGTCTATAACCTGCTAAGGAATAATAAAATGTAATGTCTGCATACTGAAGTGTTGGCTGATTATCCCCTGGTGAAGTACACTTAAAAGTATTAAAGCATGTGAGTCATGCTACCAATATAGCCATAAAGACAACTGGACATTGCTTCTTATATGGGAAAATTTCTGCCTTGGCTAGATAAAGTGGTATATTTCTTCATGAAACCATATTGATAGATAAATAGGGCTGGGCCATAAGAGAGCAATAGAGTTGACTGACGGTTTATACAGATGTGTTTTATTGAAAATTTAATTTTGACTTGGTTCTGACATTTCAGCTTCTGATTGTGCCAGTGCCTCCTGTGGTGGTTCGAAATGATGAATTGACATGGAAAGACATCTGCTATTACTTGTATGAAGAAAATGCATTTGATAATGTTGTTATATCACCTGGACCTGGTTCCCCAACATGCCCAGCGGACATAGGTGAGAGGGAGAAAAATAAATTTATCTTTTCTATTCTAGTTCCATCCTTATCGTCACGATATACAGCAGAAAGAAGTATTGACTAGAAGTAGAGTTATGATATTTAAGCCACCATCTTCTTTTTGCATTACTTGTTACTTCTAATTGTATCTTGGCCAAAAATAGATTCATGAAGTCTTATTTAGATAGCCTTTATTCTGCAGAGCTAATTAGATAGGCTTCACTCTCAAGAGTTTTCAACCTTTTGGATTATGTACAAGCACACACATTTTGTTCTCCTCTTGAGTGATTTACTCTGGTATACTTATAGATGACTTCCATTGCATTCTGTTGCCGTTTTTGAATGAAGTTTTAATTGGAAAAAAAATCAGCTCTCTAGACTAGTGTTTGCAGCTCTTTTTTGCCCTCTGCTTTAGGTGTTAAGTTTATTTTGATAATTTCATTTGGAAACTATTTGAATCTGTCAGGAATATGTCTTCAGGTGCTGCTTGACTGCTGGGATATCCCTATTTTGGGTGTTTGTCTTGGACATCAGGTATTTTGCTTTATACTTTTTTTCCCTTCTGATGTAGCCTAGATGCTTAAGTTAAAATTCCTAGTTACATTCATAATGATATTTTTATGGAGAATTACAGGCTACCCTTAAAATGGTATCTACAGGCAGTGATTTTGACACATTGTTCTAAGAATCTTATATACAAAGTTTCATGCCAAAAAGAGGAATATACGTACTACATACGTGAATACACACACGCACAATATGCTTAATATAAATAAATACATGTATTTATTTGGCTTGTTCTGGTGCAGCATGTAGACAGTTGTATTTATAGATTTATATCTGCATATATGAATCTTTGCATTATGTAGTGTATTTCACGTAAATAGCATGTAATCTTGGCCTTAATAAGAAGGTGATATCAGAATGTGCAGCCTCTCTCATCAAGAATGATAGTTCTCTTAATGTGACTTGGTTTTCACCCTTCTCCTGGATGACTTTGATGAAACAGGCTTTAGCTTATGTGCACGGTTCTAAAGTTGTCCACGCATCTGAACCAGTCCATGGACGGTTGAGGTATAGTTGTATATTATAACAAGATTTGGTTTTCATGGGTGTTTATTTTCTCTCCTAATTTTATAATTATTAATGTGAGATATGCTTTACAATTAAAAAGATTTTGGATTGAAGCTTTGCTATTGTGATTGTTTGGTTTCCCCATAAGTTCTCCTTCTATTAACTTTGTACTCTCCTTTTTTCCTCAATACAGCGAAATTGAGCACAATGGGTGCAGACTTTTCAATGACATCCCTTCTGGCCACAACTCAGGATTCAAGGTCAGTCTTCTCTTAAAGTTTGAAGTTGAAATTAATGCTTGTAACAAAAGAATAATAAGAAACTTAGTTGTCTTATACTGAAATCTCTTTGGTTTATTGCAACCTTTGTAATTCGTTTTACCATACCATGGAAAGGTTATCCTTGGAAGATGTCAAATATATCAAGGAATCTCTATGACACTGATCAGTTTCTCTGATTTTTCATATCTTGCTAAAGTTACTCACATCCTAGAAAAAATAAAAATAAAGAACATTGCCAGTGTCTAGTTCACTTTCAGTTTGCTTCTAAACAATAGGCGATCGAGAATTCTGACTTTTCATGTAGATGATTCTATTCTGTATATTATGACAGTAAAAACTTTACTTGTTGGATGAAAATGTGATGGTAATTAACTTGTAAAGGGGCAATAATTTTTAAACTTTATTAAGATTATAATTTTCATGCGAACTTGAGATTGCAACCATTTACTTGAATAATGATTAATATTATCTAAGTCACATACTTGCTAGATCTGATCTTTTTATGTAGAACCGAAGTCAGTCATTCTTGAAATTTCAAATATTATATCTACACTTGCCACAAAAAAGAAAAAGAAAAAATTTAAAATTACAGAAGGTCAAAGATGATTTCTTGGAACTTTAATGTTTTAATTTGGTTTTGCAGCAAGTGCATGCTGCAGCTACCATGGACCTTTAGGGTGATTCTGATAGTTATTCTTAACTATGGACTATACCTAATTGCAGGTGGTGCGGTACCATTCGCTTGTTGTAGATGTTGAATCACTCCCAGATGAACTCATTCCTATAGCATGGACTTCCTCCGTGGATGCACTTTCTTTTCTTGAAACCCACAAGTCTGATGTTCCCTCAGAGTTTGCTGCTGGATCTTTTTCAACAAAATTGAAAAATGGAAGTTATTCTCCGTTCAGCCATTCTGGCAAACTGCAGAGCGAAAAGGTTCTCATGGGCATTATGCATTCTACAAGGCCTCATTATGGTTTGCAGGTGTGTTGCATGTTCATTGCATTTGTGATTGTTGGGCTCTGGTTTTCGGTGCAATACCCTTTTGACTTTATGTGTTAAGCCTTACAGTTCCATCCAGAGAGTATTGCAACCTTTCATGGAAGGCAGATATTCAAGAATTTTAGAGAGATCACAGAGGAGTACTGGCGGAGTTCGAGGGCATCCTTCCTCCAAGAACGGAATTTTGATTATACAGGTAAACTGGGGCTCTTTTCTAGAATTACTTGTTTATCCTTCTTCTTCCTTGTGGTTCTATATATTTTACAACTATTATAATTTTCTTAGAATAAACTGCCTCTAATTTCAACTGACCAATAAACCTCTTTTAGCATGCGTGCAGATTCCCCATGTTAGTCGACTGTTCACAGAAGTTCCTAGACATAGGCAACTGGTAAATAATGCAGATGGTCAACTATATAGGAAGGCTTTTAGAAGTAACTTATTAAAGAACAGTGAAGGTAATAGAAGTTGTTCTGGTATGGTCGATATGGTTAACCTTTTGCATCCAAGCAATGGTGTTAAATATCTGAAGCTCAAATGGAAGAGATTTAAGAACTTGGCTGGTCAGGTTGGTGGAGCCAAAAATATATTTTGTGAACTTTATGGACATCATAAAGCTGAAAACACCTTTTGGTTGGACAGTTCATCAATAGAAAAGGTTTGTTGATTGTTCAGTGATTTCTCTTTCCAATTAAACAACTCAATATTACTTCTTATACTTTCTTGTGTGGCGTTGGATTTTACATTTTAATTGCCATGCATATGCCCATCTTAAGATTGATAATTTTTCCCCATCTCGTTTTATAAGTTGTTTGGTAAGTTTCACTTGCTTCTGATTGCTAGTTACAACTCTTAGCATGAGTTTTCCTTCTCTCATAGTTCTTGGTGAAGGTTTTAGTTGAAACATTTGGCATTATCATAGTCTTTACTTTTATGGTGCTTATTTTCTTTGTTTTCTTGAATGTTCAGAGAAGAGCACGCTTTTCATTTATGGGAGGAAAAGGTGGAACTCTTTGGAAGCAATTGACCTTTAAATTGTCTGATAGAAGGTTTGAGTGAACACTGATTTGGGAAAATTTTAGCATCAAATTTGTAGTTTTGTATGAATATTTGTTTAACCGAGGCTTCAAGTTTGAACATATAAGTATCATCACATAACTACCTTGTTATTCATAATGTTTTCATATAAAACTAATCATAATTTTTTTTAGAATAAAGCTTTTATGAGTATTTCTAAGTTATATATACTGTGTTTTTCAGTGATATGACTTTGAAAGGCAGAGGTTTTCTATCTGTTGAGGATGCTCAAGGCTCTACCAAAAGCACATTTTTGGAAGAAGGTTTTCTTGACTTTTTGAAAAAGGTATTAGTGAAATTACAGGTTGTGTTGTAATCTTCTTGTGTGTGCGGATGATAGCTTCTCAAATGCCCTTATCTCCTTTTATTTCTGTTCTTGATATATTTGGGCTTCTATGTTTTTACATGTGTTATACTTAATATAGAGATCATCTCAATGGCCATAAACTTTCTTCTGTTCATTTGGAAATAATTTTGTTTGTGATTATGTTACTATGTTCAGTATCCAAGCTTGAAGTAATATTTGCTGCTTGATCTGTGTTTCAGGAGCTCCTGTCATTTTGCTATGATGAAAAGGATTATGAAGGACTTCCATTTGACTTTCATGGTGGATATATTGGCTACATGGGGTATGCAGTTAAGTTTATTTGAATGTAACATTCTTGGACAATCTTTTCCTTCTTATCCACTACTCCTCAGTGTATGGATTGAGTCTTGTTAATTTAGCTTGTGGAAAATCAGTTTCTCAGAAAGTTGGTCTCTTGTAAAAGCATGATTGGTGCCGTCAAACTCTACCAATGTTTCATCAAGGCATAGAGCATGGATCATTCCCTAAAGAAGTTTTATACTCTGTCAAAAAAAAATTAAAAAAAAGTTGGAGCTCATGCTTCAGTAGTAAAGGACTGTCATCTCCCAATATGGGATACTTGACCCTGAAGATAGTGAAGGACTGTCATCCCAATATGGATTGATTGACTCCGAAGATAATCAGTTGAATAGTAGACATCTCTTTACTTTTTAGCTATCCTGATTCCTGATTGCTGTTCCGTCATAAGAATTCATCATCTCTCTCCCTTCGGTTCCTGCTTTTTCATATTTATATGCTTGGATTGAATGTCTGTCACTAGCCAAAAATAGTTCTTCTTCTTATATGTGTCTTAAGTTAGCTGAGCATTCACTGATTTCATGTAATGCAGATATAGCCTTAAAGTTGAATGTGGAGCATTATCTAATCGCCACAAATCCGGGACTCCAGATGCTTGCTTTTTCTTTGCTGATAATCTTGTAGTTATTGATCACTGCTCCAACGATGTTTATGTACTGTCTATAGATGAAGGATGCACAAGTAAGACACCATGGTTGGATGATACAGAACAGAAGCTTCTCAGCTTAAAAACTTCTGCTACTACGGAGGGAGAGGAGCCAAATTTACAGGCTTTAACATCTTCACAATGTCAAGCAAGTTTCCTTGCTGATAAATCAAGGGAGGAGTATATAAAAGATGTTGACAAGTGTATGGAATACATTAAAGATGGTGAAAGCTATGAATTATGTCTCACGACTCAGATGAGAAAAAGAATCGGGGAAATGGACTCATTGGGACTTTACCTTCACCTTAGAGAGAAAAACCCAGCACCATATGCTGCCTGGCTTAATTTTGCAAAGGAAAACCTATGCATCTGCTGTTCTTCACCAGAGCGGTTTCTACGGTTGGATAGAAATGGTATACTGGAAGCAAAGCCCATTAAGGGTACTGTAGCTCGTGGTGCAACACTGGAGGAAGATGAACAACACAAACTACAGCTACAATACAGGTAAAATGAATCTCTTCTCTTTTTTTACAGGAGATTAAAACCACGTTACTATAAATGACAATTTGGTCAAGTGAAAGAGCTGTTATCAGGATCTTAGTTTTCTTGTATTGGCTAAATTTATTCTGACTTTGAGCACTCTGCCATCTCTCTACAGTGAAAAGGATCAAGCTGAAAATCTGATGATTGTTGATCTTCTAAGAAACGACCTTGGTCGTGTGTGTGAGCCTGGCTCTGTTCATGTGCCCCATCTTATGGATGTGGAATCATATGCTACTGTCCATACTATGGTGAGCACAATTCGTGGGAAGAAGCGGTCGGATGTAACTGCAGTTGACTGCGTGAGAGCCGCATTTCCAGGTGGTTCAATGACAGGTGCACCGAAACTGAGATCAATGGAACTTCTTGATTCAATTGAAAACAGTTCACGGGGAATTTACTCCGGCTCCATTGGGTTCTTCTCATACAACCAGACATTTGATCTGAATATAGTTATTAGAACTGTTGTTATACACGAGGGTGAAGCTTCAATAGGAGCAGGAGGAGCCATTATTGCTTTATCAAATCCTGAAGATGAGTATGACGAAATGGTTTTGAAAACACAGGCTCCAGCAAAAGCTGTCATGGAGTTTCTGTAGGAAGGGATTGACATATTTTGCACTCTATTTTCACATTTTTTTCCCCTGTTATGATTGTTTGTAGTGTCAAAGAAGAAACTCATACAGGCCCTGTGGAAAACGGCAGGCAATATATAGCTTTGGTTTTAGTTACCATTGAATTCATGATTCATTTGTGAAAACAATAAAAGGATGCTTCTTAATTATAATCTCATTCCAATTTGACTTGTTGGCAGACTGTCTGTATGCAACTCCATGGCAAAGTCAAACATAATAGAGGAATGTCTGATTAGCCTAACCACCCCTCACATTTCACCCTGACCACCACCACCTACCTTGTCAACCAGCACAGGTACCAGACAAAAGAAGATAAATAATGAAGCAAAAAATATAAAAATAAATAAATAGAAAAGACAAAAGGCCTCTGAGATTTGAGTAATGAGTATTTTGTGTCAATCTTTATAATCATGTGACTAGTTTTAGTTTATATATTATTCAAGGAACGCTTAGATCAGTCCTTCAAACACGAGTAGGTGATTCTCAATCATTGATGCATGGGGAGCTCTCAGCGATCAATGCTTAGCAATCATCCACATGGGTGGTCCCGAAAAATTGAGTTGAGTTAATAAAGAATACGCGTACAAGGCAGCACACCCCATGTTTTTCATGATTTTCACTCAAAACACGACGAGACCCTGATGGTCAATCCATAGAAATGCCACTCTTCAATTAGGCAGCACACTCCATGTGTCAATCAACTGCTTCAAAATTTACTTGATAGATGCTTTTAAATATTTTGACTCTATAGTTCTGTATATATTTGTTAAAATAACTTGAACACATCACCTTATTTTATTTCTAAAAAATTTTGAGCAGGACAATTCCCAACTACAATGCATCAACAATAAAGAACCGTCAACTCAACAAATACACGACTGTGTTTTAGCAAAATCCATTTAATTTACTTCTAGCCCCTTATGTGCCAATTGGGATTTTTTTATTTAAATTTTTTATCTTTAAATATTAGTAATTCAATTTAAGTTCCAAAAAAGAGAAATGAGTTGTAATTGTGTCCTAAGAAAACAGAACCCATAATCTTATTTTATTTTTTATTTTAAGTATTTTGGTATTTGAATGTTTTACGATTATCTTCCTTTCTCATTTGTATCTCCCAGTCTCCTACCCGCACCACACTTGTACGATTGGCTATAAGTAGCAAGCCACCAAACAAAGAAAAATAAATAAATTGAAAGCTCGAAGGTGTGGTGGTGGCAGTGGTGGGTAGGTGAAGGGAGTTGGTGGGTTCTAACTTCTATTGCATCTAAATTCGACCACCTGATTCTTTACTCAAACCAAATCCAAAGCACCCACTTTTTTTCTATAGTTTCTTCAAAGCTTCCATCTTTTTCTTCTCTCTTCTTCCTGGGTGTTGTGGTTGGTGGGCTGAGGCTCAGTGAGTTCAATTGAGATGGCTTCGTCTCTCTCATCCAAACCATTTCTCGGAGCTTCAAGGACCGATGGGCTTTCTGGGTTGTGCTCTATCTCCTCGGATCTTCGAAATCTATCGTCCCCCTCAGTACAGTTTTTGATCCGCCCTCGTACTCTCAGGAAGCTCCGTAAGTCTCTCTCTCTCTGATTGTTCAATTCATTTGCTTTTGCTTCTAATACAAATCACTGTACAAGTTCCATATTTCTGCATATGTTCAATTGCTTAAAATTGTTTAGCTACATCATTGAAGGCTGTAAATGCTGTGTGTTAAGTGGTCAAGTCTACTCTTTGCTTCCTCTGTCCAATGTGTGAGAAGTTTGTTATGTGCAATGTAGCTCTTGAATTAATTGTCTGCTTAAGGTTATAAATCCCTATACTTTCCAGTGAATTTCTTTTATGCAATAAGCATGGTTCATTCTTTTAAAAGATTATTTAGTCATTGGGATTGCGGCGACTTTAAGTAGCTTCTGCAAGCACTACCCTATTTGTAAAAACTTTGTTTTTGGTCAAAAGTTGTAAAAACTAAGTACCCCTGTTATCACTCAGTCCAATTGATAACGGGATTAGAAGAAAAAATTAGTACTTTTCTAATGCAAGTTTTAAAATAACATGGGAGTTTATATAATGTAAGGGATTGTAGTAAGCTAGGACTTCCAATTCTGAAATTTTTTGATGTTGAATTTCAGAGGTGCAGGCAGCCGGCAATACTTACGGAAATTTCTTTCGTGTAACAACTTTTGGAGAATCACATGGTGGTGGTGTTGGTTGTGTAATCGATGGATGTCCTCCTAGGATGCCCCTCTCTGAAGCTGATTTGCAGGGCGACCTGGACAGAAGGTATTTGATACAGGGCTTGCCCTTGTCATGCTCATTTTAAAGTTTTTCGGGGAGCTGGAAGACTCTCCTAACTTGCATTGTTGAATTTGTAACGATTGATATTTCCCATTTCATGTTCAATTGAATCTAATTTTACTAGTACGCTTTCATGTTCAATTGAATGTTATTTTACTACTATGTTTTCATGTTCATGTTCATCTTAAAGTCTCTGAGGTATTTTGATCCAGGCTCATTGTATGCTGACACAGTTAGTTTCCTTGGATATATAGACTGTTTATATTGTTGATATTAGTACAATGTGTTCCCTGTGATAATCACGGAAAGCTTCCTTTATTATTGTTGGTTTCTGATTTGTTTTGATGCGAACTTTTCATGGGTTGTCAGGAGGCCAGGTCAAAGTCGGATTACTACTCCTAGGAAGGAAACTGACACATGCCGAATACTTTCTGGAGTTCATGAAGGTTAGATCTTTTTGGAATTTTTGTTCAATGTGCTTTTTTCAGGGTTCCTTTGGTAGTTTCCTCTTCAGCTAGGAAATTACTTCTCAACACATTTGTGTGCACTCTAAATGATTTTATAATTAACTGCAGGAGTGACTACTGGGACCCCAATTCTTGTGCTTGTACCCAATACTGATCAGAGAGGACGTGTAAGTATCTAGTGCTAGAGGGAATATATGAAGAGGAAAGAAAATGGAAGGGCTAAAAAACTGATATTTCTTTGCAATGTGTTTTTTTTTTCTTGTGATTTTTACTGATTCGTCATTTATAGGAGAATTTAAATTGACAATCACATTTATGTTTTTTACAAGTCAATCACTTGTTCAGTGGAGCATTGTTATACTGAAGATATTGTTTATCGTGCATAGAAAGTTTTCCAATAATTATGTTGGTGGTTTTTAGGATTATGACGAAATGTCAATAGCTTATAGGCCTTCACATGCAGATCGAACTTATGACCTGAAGTATGGTGTCAGATCAGTGCAGGTACCATCTTTAAGCTTAATAATTAAAGGTTCACAATTACTTGTTTGGAATTGCAGATATGTAGATCTTAACCTAGTTTGTTATTGAAGGGTGGTGGTAGATCTTCAGCTAGAGAAACAATAGGAAGAGTTGCTGCAGGGGCTGTTGCCAAGAAAATCCTTAAGGCCTTCTCAGGAACTGAGGTGTGTGTGGTGTGTGTGTACTTCTGTTTGTAGGTGTGTGCGTGCGTGTTTTGGTGCGAGGTGGGGAAACTTTCTCCCCGGGATTTTGTTTCTTAAACATGATGCTGACACATTTGCTAATGCATATAACTTTCCCCCATGATCCTGAGACTCTAGTTTGTTTAATCATTGTGTTGCTGCTTATTTATTGAAGTTGATTTACCTTGAAGAACTGTGAATTTATCAGGCTAAGAGAAGTTTTAATTTGACTATTAAATTCAAAATTGAGAGGTAGTCTTAACTTGCTATTACTTGTTATTGAGAAACTTATGATTTTGAGGATGCTTCTTTCATAAAATTTTGCTCTCTTTGACATCTAAGGACACAAGACTAGTGTCCACCCATGTTGAACACGCTTTGGACGCCTAGGAAAATATATATATTAATTTGCCTATAAATCAAGATCTTAGGATTTTTTTTTTCTAGAAAATGAATCGCGACTATTATTTTCATAATTTTCTGTGGCAATATGCTTCTTTTACAAGTAAAGATATGCTCAAGAATATCAAGAATAGATGACATTTCTAAATAAATAAATAAAAATACACATGTATTGGCATGTCCACATGTCTAGATTTTTGGAAGTGGACTTGCCGTACGCACCATGTCTGTGACAGTACATGACATTAATGTCTGTGTCCTCAAATCATAGTGAATAAGTAATTGGAATTTGGAGCTATTTATGTTAATTGAAAAAGTTTCAGAACATCTCTGGCCAATCTTGCCATTCATAATCTCATAAGATACAGCCTGTACATATAATATTATCTGCACTTATTTCTTTTTCTTTTCATAATTTCTAAACCTTTTCCCTTATGTTTGTAACATCTACAGGTTCTTGCTTATGTTTCACAAGTTCATAAGGTTGTGCTTCCAGAGGAGTCAGTTAATCATTATACATTGGCACTTGATCAGGTGGGATTATGGATATTAATTTAAATTTTTGTATAATAAGCACTGCACAATGCATGTCAGCTACAAGGAACAACATTCAATATGCAGACTAAATATCTGAATGATTTAGGACTCTTGAGTACCTAATTTTGTAGCATAATTTCTGAGACAATGATACTGTTCTTACTCTCCAATTATATGTTTTATCTGTGGTTGTCACATCCAGTAACATTTCATGAGTTATTATTGGCTACAATAGTACCACACCCAAATGTGAAACGAAAATTACCCTCTTCATAAATATGGTTTTCCTAATTGGTTTTTGACCTGTAACTGGCCATACAAAGCTCTACATTCCCCTTAGTACCTGATGGAACAGTAAGAAAACTCAATAATTCAATGGAGTTGTTACTTGAGGTTTCAAGTTCTCGGAGAATCTTAGATGTAAATTGGTTTTATAAATTTCAAAGGAACCCAAGTATTTCCATGTAGCTTACTCTTTTTCAATTTTACACATTCAATCTTCTCAATCATATGGATTTTTGAAGTACTTTTTGACACAGAATTTAACTTTTATTATTCATAAAAAATTGA